GGATCGGTTTTTTACTTTACTTATTTTTTATTTCTAAGGATACAGTAAGTAACATTTCCAATAACATCATCTTTATATAATCAATAAGCAGTCGTCTATATATAGGTTTAGGATATATTCCTGAAAATTTGCTATATTTTTTTTTACCTCGTCTTATCTAAAGATAGCCTTATACACAGAAATATACGATAAGTACTTTTCTGTTTCAGAATTTTTCCTTTTATCATTTTTATACAATTATGTTTTTATTATTTTCGTTCTCATTTCTACGCACTCCCATCTAACCCCACTCTCGACGTCTGGGTAAATACTTGACAAATGGTGAATGTAGTCCCGTCTCTTACTCCCAGAAGAAGAAGAAGAAGAAGAAGAAGAAGAAGAAGAATTATATTCTGTGTAAACCATTAATTATGACCCGTCCCTCGGTTCCAAAATTACAGATCTGCGTCAAGGCCAGCCGGTGCATCTTTCTCACATCGTCGTTCATCGGCACACCTCCCAGCAAGTCTAGAAAGATATACTTACCCCGTCTATGCAGTTGACTCGGTCGGGTTGGAACTGTGACGTCACTGCAGGCTCTGCTTCTCGTCCAATAAATGGATGACCATTAGATTACCCAACCCGCCACCACTCTTCTCGTCAGCCACCATTTTCCCTTCATTTAGTTCAATTAAAACCTAACGACTTTAGTCGATATGACAAAATGAAAATTAGTCGTTGAAATGATCAAATTATAATGATTTACATGTAATTATTATTATAGAAATTAACAAAATTACTAGTATTTGTTAATTTAGACTTACTGCCCGGGGCTTTTGTGGTTCGTTTTGCAAACTGTTCTGTTAAAAGTCGAGTATCCTGTTTTCAATGATTGAAATTATTTGCGTGTATTAAATAAAGTCACTCTCTCTCTCTCTCTCTCTCTATATATATATATATATATATATATATATATATAGAAGGCAGGATGTGTGTGTGTGTATGTAATGACTGCACGGCCGCAATTTTCGACGGATTTGCACCAAAATTTACATGCACATGCCCCAAGTTAGTAAGAAGGCCACCACCGACTTTGCATTTCCCAACTCCCATCAATAGTGGAAATAATCGATTTTTTCATGCTTCTACTGCAGTTTTCATGTAGTTTGCGGCTTTTTTCTACTTGCCAGAGTGAGAGCCTATAGCTGGCTGCCACGAATAGGCAGGAAGATTCTATTGGCCAGCGTTAGAGCCAACAGCTGACTGACACGAATGTTAACTAGCATGCTAGCATGCAAAAAAAATCGATAGCGGCATTCGTCACAAGTGGGAAAAATTTAAATCTGCATGGCACTTTACTCCAATTGGCTCATTCGCTTGCTTAAACTCAACATTGATTCTGATTCCGCAGAACTGGGTTGGGTGTGAAAAATTATTTGTTGTTAACATTCTTTTTTCATTCGGTTTTTCCAGTTACGATTTTTTTTAAAGCTGATCGTTTTGTGTTCATTTTGTTTAGTTCTTTTTTCGTAACAGATTTTATGTTTAGTATAGAGCTTAGAAGAAAATCGAAGTGTGAGATAGGCAAGAAGTAAGGCATGTAGCAACATCAGCATGGCAAAGGGCACTCCTTTGAAGGCAAGGAAGGGCAAAAATATTTTAAGTCAAGTCAGCGATTTCTGTATGAATCGTACGATTTTTGAATCAAGCACGGGCAACGCAAGGCCATGCTGCTAGTATATATATATATATATATATATATATATATATATATATATATATATATATTGAATGTTGATTTGGGAAGAATTTTACGTACTTACCGTTTGTTTTATATATATATATATATATATATATCCCTATATTGAAGTTATTCTTCCCAAATCAACATGCAAAATACCAACAAACATAATGACTACGAAACGTACACACAAACACATAGACTTACGAACACACATTATCATCTCATTCCCGCATAGACAAGAGAGAATTTTTACACAATTACATACATACTGCGTTATTTACGGTTCTTCAGTTAGGCTTACAATCCGTCAATTTCTTGAAACTTCGGATTCACGCGTCATCTGTCGCGATAAATTATACTAACGTTGATTTAACAAGCCGAATGCACGTGAAACAGGATTGACCAATAAAAGATTGATAAACGTTTCATATTTGTTTTTTTTTTTTAATCTTATCATTCTGTTGGATTTCGAACCATATTTGAACTATATTTTATCCCAACCTATAGATAGATAGATAGAAAGGTCTATCTTGAGACTTGGGACACTTAGTAATTCATCTCAACTATTAATACCTATGTCATCAGCATATCACTCCTCATCATCGGTACGTTGGCCTCGGGAGGGAAAGCAAGAACATTGAAATAGTGAGAATGAAGAAATAATTAGAAAAAGAGATCAAGAATATTCGTCTATATTTCTGAGATGAGGTATTGTAACTACACAGGAACTAGTACAATCTAACCCCGGTGGACGACATAAATGGTACGGTTAGAAATTCCAGATCCTCCGAACAATTGGCATGAAAGGATTTATAAAAAGGACAGAAGTAAATAACTTTACAGTAGTGGGAAAGTGACTGAAGCCAAATTGCCAGATTAGGATGTTCTAACCATTTTAGTTGTTGCTAATGTCCTCAAGTGATATGGTTTGTGTTATAAGGTACAGTTCTTTGTGAATGTGAATTGTCTGTTAATTTAGATATTTCTGAACGAGTTTAGCACCATGAATGGTATCCATATGAAAGTTTAGGTCTGACGAGACTAAGAAAATCAATCTAGTTTTTTTAGGTTAAAATTTTGGTTTTGTAGCAATTTGTTGTATTGGGCGAAACTACCCCTAGTGTAGCTTATTCAATGTTCAGTTTCCTTACATCATATGCTTAAAGTGGTATAACTTATCTATAAACCGAAGTATTTGAATCATTTACTAAATATTAATTTCACATACTGAAGTTTTTTGCTGTTTTTTTTTTTTTATGACGGATTCAAGATATTTCTTATCAAAGTTTCTGTTTTGAAAAGGTCTATCTTGAGACTTAATTCTCGGAACACTTATTAAAGGAAGTAGATTTTTTTGTTCAAGTTCGTTCTCATTCCAACTATGAATACCTATGTCATCAGCATATCACCCCACATCATCGGTACATTGGCCTCGGGAGGGGAAGCAAGAAATAGTGAGAATGAAGAAATAGTGAGAAAAAGGGATCAAGAATATTCGTTAACATTTCTGAGATGAGGTATTGTAACTACACTGGAAATAGAACAATGTAACCCCGGTGGACGGACACACACACACACACACACACACACACATATATATATATATATATATATATATATATATATATATATATATATATATATATATATATATATATATATATAAAGCATGTACGTAAAAACGTTCCCAAAAACAAGATGTGAAAAACCAATACACATAATGTCTACTAGACAAACACACACACTTACGAATACACATTATCATCTCATTCCTACATAGACAAACGAGAATTTTACACAATTACATACATATAGCAATATTTACGGTTTTTCAGGTAAGCTTGGAATTCCTCACTTTTGAAACTTCGAAGCAAACGCCATCTTTCTTTGAATTCGGAACGCCATAAATTATAGTAACGTTGGTTTAAACGAGTCGAATGTACGTGAAACAGGAATGACCAATGAAAATCAAACAACACTAAAATAATAATTACCAGAATTTATTTCTTCTTTTTCTCCGTATTTCATTCTCTGATGAAGCTTTAATAGAAGTGAAACATGTTACACAACCACATCCTTATCAAGACGTCTTACATTACACCTATCTGATCACAGCTCCATTAGAACCCATTTAAACACAGACACAAATTTACCAGACTCCATTAGAAACATACTAGTAGAAAACACAAATATATTAACTGCATCCACCTGCAAAAAAAAAAGACTAAAAAATAATGGAAGCTTTAATAATAAAAAAAAAAAGGCCAACTCTTAACAATATTAACTACGAACAAAGCCACAATGTGCTAACCGTATTCGGAAATTAAAACATCCCTACCAACCACTGAGACATATATATAGAACGCACACACACATTTAAGCTGAAAAATCGAATTATCCTTGATGTATAAAGGTATAACCGAAAGCGCTCGGAAATATAAAACATTTGGACAGTTCTTACACATCATTTGTCCAGAAAAGAAATCTCTTGTCAGAACACAAGAAAAAATTAGATAAAAAAGCTTAACCATAGTACCTTGTCTGTCGTTTTAATGAAACATGCATAAAGGAAGGATTGCTGCCTAAATATACAACTATATATATATATATATATATATATATATATATATATATATATATATATATATATATATATATAGAGAAAGTACATTTAGTTCCTTTTTATGTCGCTTTATAATATATGAAACTGAATTCATAACCTTCACCCAGTAACGTTCAATACAAAGTGTCCCACGTAAATCAATAAAATCTGTTGAATCTTTTACATGCCTAGGGAGCGAAATAAATTCTATTGAAAAAGGTGTGAACATTCTCATAGCTAAAGCTCTGAATAAATTTAATCTGTAATTCTGCCTTCTCCTACAACCTCAAACGGAACTTCTTTTCACGCCACTGTAGAGTTTAAGCTTGATAGAACCTACACTCGGATGCTAAAAGCTATACTTAACATCTCTTGGGGACAACATGGACCCATCTCTGATATTTCTACAATCTTACGCGAACGCAAAATGCGCTTTGTAGCACTCTGTTGGCAATCAAAACAAGACCTTGCGAGTGAACTACTGCTCTGGATAACGAGCCTTGACGTTCTTCGTCCAGCAACCACCAACATTGCCCAACTATACAATGACACAGGATCCCATCGTAAAGAGCTTCCGTGCTTGATGCAGGACCGTGGTGGCTGGCCTGATAGAGTCATTCATGTTCGAGATCGCTCGACTGAATGATGATAAAGGTAACGTCATTTGCAACGGAGCTTACAGCAGCTGGTATTCCCAAGTGGTCACCCGTTTAGGTACTGACCAGACTCGACGTTGCTTAACGTCGGTGATCGTACGAGAACTGGTATTTCAGCGCGATGTGACCGTGTGGCCGCCATTTGATTTGCTTTTGTTGTGTGTCGACAAGAGGTTGTTTGGAGGGATATTAAGGGAAGGCGGACATTCCAAGAAGGTCAGCGACAAGAAAGAGGGCATGATGAACGAGACTCGAACACAGACGACTGGAAGTGACATTTCATGTCTCAGACGGCTTTTTTGCTTGCGACATGACGTGGGCACAGAGACAAGTGTCATCAGAGACGACCAATCGGGAAGAAGGCCGCAAGAGGAACAAGAAGGCGAAAAAAAGAGAAAGATAAAAATTGACCAGGTCAGCAAAAAGGCGGGGGGAGAAAGAAGAGGAAATGAAGGAATGAATGAAGAGACGGGAGGAAAATGAACAGGGGAGACTCAGAAAAAAAGAAAAGAGAGGGTAAAAAGATGGAAGGAGAGGGAAAAAATGAGAAGGGAAGAGGAGGAGAGACGAGAAGGAAAAGAAGAGAGACGGGAAGAAGAGAGCAAGGGGGCAAGGCGAGAGGGTAATTAAGAAGTAAAAAGGAGAAAGATGAGACATAAGAGACATAAACGGGAAGCTTAGAGGAGAAGAAGAAGAGGAAGAGTTTGGAGGATGAAAAAGAAGAGAGACGGAAGAATACAAAAAAACGACAGAAGAGAAGAAGAAGAAGAAGAAGAAGAAGAAGAAGAATAGGAGGAATTTGGAGGAAAAAAAAGAAGAGAGACGGAAGAATACAAAAAAACGACAGAAGGGAAGAAGAAGAAGAAGAAGAAGAAGAAGAAGAAGAAGAAAAAAAGAAGAAGAAGAAGAAAAAAAAAAACGACAGGAGGAATTTGAAGAAAAAAGAAGAAGAATAGGAAGAATACAAAAAAAAAGACAGAAGGGAATACAAAAAGAAGAAGAAGAAGAAGAAGAAGAAGAAGAAGAAGAAGAAGAAGAAGAAGAATAGGAGGAATTTGGAGGGAAAAAAAGAAGAGAGACGGAAGAATACAAAAAAACGACAGAAGGGAAGAAGAAGAAGAAGAAGAAGAAGAAGAAGAAGAAGAAGAAGAAGAAGAAGAGGAGTTTGGAGGAAGAAAAATACAAAAAAAAAAGACAGGCGAGAAGAAGAAGAGGAGGAGGAGAAAAAAAGAGGTGAACGAATAAAAAAACGAGAGACGAGAAGAAGAAGAAGAAGAAGAAGAAGAAGAAGAAGAAGAAGAAGAAGTGGAGGAGGAGAAGGAGAAGAAGTAGAAGGAGTCTAGATGAAAAACAAAAGAGGGATTAATAAAAAATCGAGAGAAGGAGGAGGAGGTGGAGGAGGAAGAAGGGGGGAGAAGAAGAAGCGAATAAAAAAAATGTGTGACAAGAGGTTAAACAAGGAGAAAAAAGGAGGGAAAATGAAGAAGAACTGTAGTAAGTATATCCAAGTGGTTAAAGAAGAGGTAGGCAATAAAAAGAAGAGTGTAAAAGAATTCAAAGAGGAACAAAAGGAGGAGGGGGGAAAAGAGAACGAATAAAAGACAAGCTCGTAAGAAAAAGAAGAAAGAAGAAAAAAATATGAAATAGTTGATGAGGAGAAGAGGAAAAGGAGAAAGAAGAAATGAAAATAGAAGAGAATAAAGTTGAGACGGAAAAAAAAAGAAACTATTACTATTAGGCTAAAGTGTTTCAAGGAGACAGCGGTCGATTTAGCGAACCCTCGTCATTGATATTGGAAAATGCCTATGACAACTGAATATAAAGTACACCAAAAACATACGGAAAGGTCTGAAAATAATGCTAACTTCAGACCGCGTTAGACAATTTTTTCATTACCTTTTTTTTTACGCGGAGGAATCGATGACATTTGAAATAAGTGAAGAGGTTTGCTGTGGATGTTTTACTTGGGATGAAGGGCATTCAGTATTTTTCCTAGCGGCCAGAAAAGGTCGCCGATTTAAAAAAAATATATATACATTATAAATATGTATAAATATGTAAGCTATTTATCATCAACAGAAGCAACCAACCGTTAATAAAAATCAACACTGCTCTAAAACTGCGTATTCTTGAAAGCATGTTACAGTTAAAATGACGTATTACACCTAACGGATACACGTTGCTGCCATGATTTTCTACGTTTCGATGTATTGGATTCAAATTTCAAACAGAATATAACGACACTTTTAAAACAATTCGGTGCTTAAAACATATTTGACTTCGTTTCATTCTCTTTACCTTTTTACACTCTTGAAGATGACCCCTGTGAGTCGAAAGATTGGCTTGGATACAATATTAATGTCGGAGATTTTTTTTAACATCAGCTCATTAGGGAGTGAGTGAGTATGATATGTGTAAGTGTGTATATTCGTGTGGGTGTGTGTATAAGTGTGGGGCCTCCACACCTCCGTAAGCATGTCTGTCTTGTGTGGGTGAGAAATGTGGGTAGGTTTTGATTTGTTGAGTTATATATTAGTACTATCTATATTGTTAAATTTATGGTTTAGCCCGGCTGGATATTTTGAATATTTTTAGACGTTGTATCCACTTTTCCTATTGTCCTTTTACAAATATAATCTATCTGAACTCCCCCACACACACACTCAGACCACACGCGCGAACATGGTAGGTTTTATCATCATCTCTCAGTTGCGTCTCTGTCTTCGGGCAGATTGCGACTTATTTGCGGCTCTGTCAGAGGCGCAACTGAAGAAAATTACGCAGAGAGATGCCCAGTCTGGGTAGCAGATGCCCATGGCTGCACCTTCTCATGGCACTAGAGAGAAGGATCGGTGCCCGCACCGAGGCCAGCGAAACCGATTTATTTCTGGAGTGCCCGGGGAATTTTTGTACTTGCCCCGGGTGTATGTGCTCGGGTTCCCCACTTTAAAAAGACCTTGTGTCACATCCCATCTCAGTAAAGGATGCACAGTAAATCTCTCTCTCTCTCTCTCTCTCTCTCTCTCTCTCTTTATACATACATATATATATATATATATATATGTCTGTTTGTCTGTCTCTCTCTCTCTCTTTCTCTATCTATATATATATATATATATATATATATATATATATATATATATATATATATATATATGTGTGTGTGTGTGTGTGTGTGTGTGTGTATCAATGCAGGATACATGTGTTTGAATCGATATCTCCGTTTTTAAAATAATGTAAATCTACGGCTTCTCGTATTCGAGATTGTTAGTAACGAAAATACGCCTTCCGAGTATCCATTATTTATATGTCTTCCGTTAAAAAAACAAAAAAAACAAATGACATAACAAATAAAAAACAAAAACAAATAAAATAAATAAAAATAACAAAAATACGTCTTCCGGTAAAATCACGAATATCCATTATGTATACGTCTTCCGGTAAAATAACAAATAAGATAACAAATAAAAAAACAACAAAAATACGTGTTCCGGTAAAATCACGAGTATCAATTATTTATACGTCTTCCGATAAAATAACAAATAAAAAAAAATAAAATAAATAAAATAACAAATGAGATAACAAATAAAAATAATAAAAATACGCCTTCCGGTAAAATCACGAGTATCCATTATTTATACGTATTCCGGTAAAATAACAAATAAAAGAACAAATAAATTAAATTAAATAACCAAGAAAAATAAGAAAAATACGTCTTCCAGTAAAATTACGAGTATCCATTTTTATACGTCTTCCGGTAAAATAACAAATAAAATAACAAATAAAATGACAAAAGTACGTGTTCTGGTAAAATCACGAGTATCCATTATTTATAAGTCTTCCGGTAAAATAACAAATAAAATAACAAATAAAATAACAAATAAAAATAACAAAAATACGCCTTCCGGTAAAACCACAAGTATCCATTATTTATGCGTATTCCGGTAAAATAACAAATAAAATGACAAAAATATAACAAATAAAAATAACAAAAATACGTCTCCCGGTATAATCATGGGTATCCATTATTTATACGTCTTCCGGTAAAATAACAAATTAAATAAATAAAATAACAAATGAAATAACAAATAAAAATAATAAAAATGCGCCTTCCGGTAAAATCACAAGTATCCATTATTTATACGTATTCCGGTAAAATAACAAATAAAGAAACAAATAAAAATAACAAAAATACATCTTCCGGTAAAATCAGGAGTATCCATTATTTATACGTCTTCCGGTAAAATAACAAATAAAATAAATTAAATAACAAATTAAATAAATAAAATGGCAAATGAAATATCAAATAAAAATAATAAAAATACATCTCCCGGTAAAATCAAGGGTATCCATTATTTATAAGGTTTAATTTTCAAAATAATAAGTGATAATGTCCTATTATAAAGAAAACTTATTATGTAGCAAATATATCAATCTATGAATATTGTAACTCTAGTTTTCTACTGGGCACCTTTTCACAGTTCTGCCGACTTGAAAATACGTTAATTTGATAAGTTTTTCCATTTCACTGGAGCAGACGTTAAATACATCAAAGCATAATCACCTTTTCCATCTTCTCACTCTCCCCGCCTCTCTCTCTCTTTCTTTCTTTTTATTATTTATTTTTCACAGAAACCAAACAACGTCTCTATCTTTTCAGGCTTCTCTCAAAATCAAAAGGGAATAATCTATTATTTGAGAGGCTTTGGTAAGTTATAATGTACGTGCTAACTAATAAAGGAATGAAGTAGGAAGCTAAATTGCATATAAACAATTTGGACACTCTACCTGAAATTATTGGGGGGGTTACGGCTTATCAACCTTTTGCAGATTATTTCAAGCCAAAACTTATTTTTAGATTGTAAGAATTTTTGGAGATAATAATGATTTACTAATGCAAGTCTTCCTAATTGACCCATAGCTGGGGACAGAAGAGGTGGATTCATGCCTTTCCCAAAGCTATTTGCGAATATCTGAATTTAATAAACCCGACTGGAATTGGAACTCAGCTTTCTGATTCCTAATCCCGTATCGTTATGCATTAAACCACGCGCACCAGCTGACAGAGCCTGGTATTCCCAAACTGTCACCCATCTAGATACTGACCAGGTCGGTGTTGCTTAACTTCGT